GTAGTTTTCGAGATAGACGTTTGTGATTTTTTCAAAAGTTTCGGAAAACTTAAATTAATTGTCAGGGTATTTTCAGGAGTTACAAATCTTGCAAATGCGACTGCTCAATTGCTTTTAGTTTTCGAGATGTGACATTTTTTTAAATTTTTTTTCAAAATGTCTAAAATAATTTACCTAAAAAAAATTTACAACGTTTGAAACTGCTAATTTGATGAAGAGATAACCGTATTGTCAGCTTACACCCAGGCGTCGCCAGTCTTGCCTCTAAATATGAATGCTCGAATGCTTTTTAATGATTTTTTCATTTTTTTTTGAGAAACTTTGGTTTAAAGAAACTCGCTAAATTTGAAATTCCCAACCCTATTGTAGGTTTCTCTCAGGGACTCTCAGTGGTTGCAAATCTGGCCTCCAAATTTCTCCAGAGACCCTTTACGTTTTCGAGATGACATTTTTATGGTTTTTCAAAATTGGAATTATAAGTTTTTTTTTTAAATAAAGTTTGTAAATTACCAACCCTGTAATTGGGTGCAGTCAGAGTACACTTAAAGGTTGCAGATCTTGTTTCCAATATATGCAGTTTTTCATGAGCTGTCGAATAAATTCGAAGCACCGGAGGTGCGTTACACTAATTAGTGTGATTTGGGACCCCTCTCTCACTCTTGGTTTTTAGCGGGACCCCTCTATCACACTTGTACCGTGGGCTGAAGATACTGTGCTACTTGCACAGTAACCAACCGGCTATCCTTGTTTCATTCTGGATTCAGCAGATCGAGTCTGATTTTTTTGATGCAATGAAGTTTGACGCATGTCGCCCTGATATGAATATTCGGAGGACTGATGTATTTTTCGCTGTTCTTGTCAATTATAAAGCTGTCTTCAGTTTGTGAGTCTGTTTATAGGTCATTCAAATTTTCCAGGACTCAGGAATTTGTCAAGTATTGTGTAATTTTATACGTTTTTATTGGGGTCACCCATTGAGTAGAATGCTCCAAGGGCAGAAAAATACGAAATTTGAATTGTACGGGCGAATTAATTGAATTGAACATCCTTATTGAACAGTTCCCAACACCTAGGTATGTATTTAGACAACCGCGTATTCAGACACTGGATTAACCAATCAGAATTGAGACCAGGAAGAAGTGAATTCCTGTTTGATTTATTAAACAGGTATTTTGAAAACGTTTTTTTTTTTCAGATGAGATCTGGTTTTTTTTTTTTGTTTTTTTTTTTGAGACGCTTTTTCGAAAAATTCGCTTTCCCAAAAAACTACCCGTCAGATTTTCATAAAAGTGGTACCAATGGATTCAGTAGCGTTTCACCTACCTGCCTGCATGAAATTTAGGGCAATTTTTACCCTACCCCACCCCCTACGGTCTTAGAAAAGCTTCACAACTCGGTACTTTTTTCACTTTTTGCCCATTTTTTCGGAAATTTTCGATTTCCTCAAAAACTACCCGTCCAGATTTGGGATTAAGGGTTTAATCGATAGACCAGGTTGTAGGAAACTCCCATGCACAAGCGGCTGGTCCCTAATTTGCTTAGGGGAAGAGCTATAGACTTAGGAAAAGTCACTTTTTTGATTTTTTTGCCTATTTTTTCGGAAATTATCGATTTCCTCAAAAACTACCCATCCAGATTTGGAATTAAGGGTTTAATCGATAGACCAGGTTGTAGGAAACTCCCCCGCACAAGCGGCTGGTCCTTAACTTGCCTAGGGGAAGAGCTATAGACTTAGGAAAAGTCACTTTTTTGGCCTTTTTTCAAATCTTTCCGATATGCTTACAAAAAAAGTTGATGCAACTTAAAGCAGAAGTAAGTGTTATGTGCTGTTATGAACAATTGCCATGGAGTGATAAATTATGATTGAAAATGAATCAGTTAAATGTTATTCACGGCGTTTGTACCTAAAGTTTTTTTAGTCTGAAGAAGCTCATTCACTAGCACAGTTGTTCGAAGACGATCTTCTTGACAACGTGGTAGTAGAAAGTTGCGCTGCTGAGACGTTGCAAGAAAGTGTCGACAATTTATTTGCAGATCATACGGATAGCGAAGATTCCTAATATCGATCAAAAAATTATTTTGTATTTATTATTTTCTTTTGTTGTTGTATATATATGTATAATAAAGCTTACAATGGAATCCGCTATGCTTACGTTTTCTCGCTTTTGCTTGGTGCTATTGACAATATTTAATTAATTCGAAAATTAAAGAGTCGTTAGAAAAATGAAAAATAATTTATTTCATTAATGTTAGCTGGTTTGTGAAACACACATTTCACTTAATTCTAGTGAATAATTATTCACATTGTTGAAGCATTGTGCATATGATTTTATTTCAAATATATTTAGCATGTAACCATGATTGATACGGTTTGCCTTGTCGCACTGTGAAAGGCCCGTTTAATTCACATTACGGTTGCCTTGTCGCACTGTGAAAGGCTCGTTTAATTTTAGTCAATTTAGTTTTGATTCTACTCCTGACAAAAAAAGTTGATGCAACTTAAAGCAGAAGTAAGTGTTATGTGCTGTTATGAACAATTGCCATGGAGTGATAAATTTGGGTTGAAAATGAATCAGTTAAATGTTATTCACGGCGTTTGTACCCAAAGTTTTTTTAGTCTGAAGAAGCTCATTCACTAGCACAGTTGTTCGAAGACGATCTTCTTGACAACGTGGTAGTAGAAAGTTGCGCTGCTGAGACGTTGCAAGAAAGTGTCGACAATTTATTTGCAGATCATACGGATAGCGAAGATTCCTAATATTGATCAAAAAATTATTTTGTATTTATTAATTTCTTTTGTTGTTGTATATATATGTATAATAAAGCTAAGTGTCGACAATTTATTTGCAGATCATACGGATAGCGAAGATTCCTAATATTGATCAAAAAATTATTTTGTTTTATTATTTTCTTTTGTTGTTGTATATATATTGTTGCAAAATAAACCAGAGTCAAGTGAACCTATTTTGTGGAATTCTGCGCGTCAATGGCAGTTACCAAAAGGTCTAAGAGAAGAACAACTGCGTATTAACCTCATTAGTGAACGTTTAGTGTCTAACATTCAAACAACATAAATACCGGTGCATTTTATGACTATCCCGAAGTGAACCATTGATCAATATACTTCAATTTTAGTTGTCAAAAAGTGTCTTACAATATTCAGGAGGATTTCAATGTTTCCATGATTTTTAAATTATTTACCTGTAGAAATTCCCAATTTTTTTTCTGATTGCATACAAATTGAACTGTCCAATGATTCAAAAAAATCTTATCTGCAATTTTGATGGTTTACGCTTCGATGACCAATCAGAGTCCTGAAAACAATATAACACCAAGAAATAAAATTACTCTCACGCGGAAAGGCAGATTAGATTGTCGAGGAAAACCAAAAAGTCGAGCAAATTACACTGAACACTATCGAAATTGTTAATTTACGGAAATTCTTTCCAGATCTTGACTATTTTCACCTGTACAATGTCCAGACTTCAGGAACTTCGACAGTCAATTTAGTTGTTCAATCTCAAACTAGAAGAGCTGCAACCTCAGCTAGGAGAGAGAAGATGAATCCATTTGCAAGACCAACATCTTCAAAACATCACCAACTAGTCAAAACTGTTAACGTTGAAGAAATACATTTAGTTCAAGTCACTATCAGAGTTCCTGTTCATTTAGCTGTAAATTTCAAAACTAATTGAAACCAAAAAATAGGAACTCTTCTTCATTGGAAGAGGAATCAATTTTCTTGCTGAACCGAAATAAAGAAGCAAGCTTCGTGAATATTTAAAAGAATCTGTTTTATTCAGTTTATTCACTTTTTTTGATCTTGTGGGATTACTAGTTAATCACATGTCGTAATTGAAAATTCAGAAATTCAAAAAAAAAATGCCAAAACAACACAAAGTGTGAATTCAACAGGTGAGAATTTACCAAGAGAGTTATTTGACGAAATCAGAACCGGAAACGTAGAAAAAAGTTTTTGGGATACAAATGACAGACAAAAACAAAGCAAGATATATATAATAAAATACAAACTAAACGTCAATCGGTCTGTGCAAAAAAAGCCGATTGGTATGCAGCTGTAACTATCACTCTTGATACAAACAGGCAAAAAGTTTTTTCTGGTAAACATGGAAATTAAAGAAACCACTGCTTAGAACAATGATTGCGACTTTGTAGACAATGATGGTATCGAACGGTCTTTATCTGACGAAAACATATCCTGAAAATTTTGTACTTCTGTTTCTCTTCCGTCTGGGCAACTTTGGAAAGCTGGAGAGACCTGTTTGATTATTTTAATATTGATTATTTTAAAATTGTTTTAAAATTTCAGGTTTCTCAAGTCGATAGCGCCCTTCCTACGCAAAAAAAGTGAAAGAGAAGCTTATGCATTCATTGGTAACGCTTTGGTAAAAAGTTTTCATGAGGGAACTTTTCAAGTCCATAGGTGTTTCCCTAGACAATAGGGGCCCAGCTGGAAGCTGGAGAGACCTGTTTGGTTATTTCAGAAAAAACGTTATACAAATTTTTGATGAAATCGAATTAGCTAGCGCTTTTTGTTTTATTGGGCAGGGGAGTTTCCTACAACCTGGTCTATCGATTAAACACTTAATCTCAAATCTGGATGGGTAGTTTTTGAAAAAATGGCCTAAAAACCGAAAAATTGACTATTCCTAAGTGTTGCCCGAAAATAATCAAACAGGTCTCTCCAGCTTTCAGCTGGGCCCCTAGTTTCATATCGTTTCTGATTGGTTAATACAGTGTCTGATGGTTCATACAGTGTCTGAATACGCGGTTGTCTAAATACTGCTACGTAACCACCTAAAATAAATACTTATGTAATGTCTTTTAGACCGCATTGTTTCATTTTCCTCCTTTATTATGATAACTCCAATGAGAATAATATGGTAGTTTCATTGTTTCCTACCATGTTGCAATTTGTTTTAAAACAAAGCGGATCCACCTTGCTCGTTACAGGGACCCAACTATCTTACTTTTTTTTTTAGAAGTAATGGCCTGGGTATGTTCGGCATAACGGGAAGATAAATAAAGGTTGGAATGCAACGTTCGGGCCTTGAGGGCATGGGTGCTCAGTCACTGCCGATTCCCAGTGATTCTTCTGCGTTTTCTGGCCTAATATATGCATCTTTTGGAATGTTTGTTGGGTGCTATCTGGCTGGTCTAATACCTCTCACTCTATCACTTTCAGAGGTATGTTTTTCTCGATAATTAACGAAATTGAACCAAGCGTAGAATATTCAAATTAAACTGTAGAGTAATAGTAACAAACACTGGATAGCATTATTTCATTGTTGATTTGGTATAAAAAACATAGTTTTTAAATTCTTCAGGTCGTCTCGCCTTTTGTGCGATTGTTTGCTTGTCAATTTTTCAGTTTTTGTTCAGATCAATTAGAAATACCAGACGATTAAGATTACTTTCTACTGAGGTCAGTTTTCTCATATTATCACCTTTGCGATAAGCAATGGAATTGCAATCGGCTACAAGAATTATTTTTCCCGTAAGTAACCTCGTTCACAGACGTAACACGACAACTCGAATGAAAAGTCAACTCGTATAAATTAGCAATTATGACAACTCGCGAAACGCTATAACTCGCAATAAGCTTGTAAGATAATCCCCTAATTACCCCTAAACTAAGACCCGTAATCCCCAACTAATTATCAGTAAATTTTATTCTTGTTCTGTCGTTTTGGTCGCTTAACACCAAAAATTGAGTCCAAAACCTTGATTGCATTAATTATGTGATCATTTTGGTTTCTAAGTATGTTTCTACTCATACGAATAATGTTACAATTCACTACAAGTCAGTGCGGGAAACGAATTTTGATCTTTGAAGATGAAAAATTTAGTTCGATTTAATGAAAAAAGCGGGCTAACAACTTGGAGATGCTGAAAAAGACCCTGCAAATCTCAAATATTCACACTTCATGATTTTTTGTGGAGAAAAAATTGGATCATTTACATTCAATGTTGCCTCATGTGTTGCCTTAAAAACTACCCTTTCAAAACTGAGATGAAAATTTCAATCCAAAGAAGCGGTTGCGCGAATTCATTTTTATCATAGAAACAACTGAGATTTTGGGCAAAGTCCAATTTTTGAAATGAGGTATTTCGTCCCGCATCACTATAACAAACTCAAAAATCATCTTCCACGTACCTCCATTTTTAGCTTGGCCCCAAATCTTTTTCGTCGAGACATGCTAAAATTTGGTATCACCTAGATTTTTGCAAAGTTTTTTTTTCTAATTTTTTTTCGTCCTTCGTTTTTCATGATTGTATTGTATCGCAAGTGGTGAAATTGCCTAGATGAAACTGAATTGATTGAAAGAGCTTAGGTGAAATTGAATTGATTGAATAGTTTTTGAGTGAAGTTGGTTTTTTCAGTTATTTGTTCTTTGGTAACTTGAGATCATCTGTAAAATACAAATAAAAAATACAGGCAGGTATAGCTAATGCTTAGTTTTCCAATAATACGTTTTACTGGAAGACTTTTTACAGTTTCCCACCCCCTGGTCAAATAACAAAATAAAGCTGTTCAAAAGTTGTTCACACGGCATTTTGTATTTAAGAAAAATTGTGAAAGTTTGCTCACCTATACACGCTGACATTTTTTAACGCAGTTAAAGATAGAAAGTCATTTTAAATAGACTTTCTCTGATTGAATTTCAGAAAAATTAACGAGGGGACTGGAAAAGAGCCACGTTTTCTTCTTTCCGAGTAAGCTTTTGTCCAAGCTTTTCGGCGTGCCTGGCATATTTAGAAAAACTAACAATTAATGATGTTTTGTCTAGCCAGCGAACACTATCGAGTGCAGTCCGCAAGCCTCTTTTTTCTCGTCGTAATTACTGATTTTCCGCGCTACTGTGAATTTACAAAATGCTACTTATGTGCGGATGATGCGAAAATTTTTGCTATCAATAACGAAACCCAATTAGTGCAGAGCGACCTCGACAACATATCTTTGTGGTGCTTCGAAAAGTGGATGACTCTTAATGCGGGAAAATGCAAACAGTTGAAATTCAGAGGATCGAGTGAGCTCTTCATGGGTCCTCATGATATAGAACAAGTCCCCGAGATCGTAGATCCTTGGTGTCGTGATTGATAAAGAGCCCAAGTGAATGGGTCAAGTGAGCGAAAAATGCCACAAAGCTTATGGAGTGCTAGCTATGATAAAGAGAAAATCCCTGAAGTTAACCTCCTAATGCAAGCTAGAAATCTACAAAAGTCTGATTCTGCCCATAATTGTTTATGCACCACCCTGTTGGCAGTCGAATATGACAGGAATTCGATGTCTGGAAAGAGTACAGAAGACAGCGTAACGTTGGATTACCGAACGCGGTGACTACTTGGAAGGTCTGAAGAAAGCAAATGTTCTTTCGCTGAGTTTTTACCTTCAGATCTCTGACTTACTCATGATGTCCAAAATAGTTCGAAATAATTATGATATCAACTTACAAATCAAATTGACTCTCGAGCAGGCATCTGCCGCGACCAGACTTGCTCAGCGCACAAGGTTCATAGTCCTCGTCCCGAAACGGAAACTTGCCGAAGCGAACTTCTGGATAAGAACTCCAAGACTTATTAAAAGAATTGAACAAGATTTCGACTTTTTCGAATTTTAAAATACTTTTGATGGTACTTCGACTCGGGCTATTCAGAGATTGTATCAAGCACATGGAAACTTTAAACTGAATTAATGTGGAAAAATACCTTCAGACTCGCTTATCTGGTCTGTAAATTAATAATAATAATAATCATAATAATAATCAAATTACGTGCGCCGTTTGCGAGGGTTTTCAGCGACCAATATACCTCTGCAATGAGTTTCGTTTATATAGCCAACCAAAGGGTTGAAGACAAGGTTTTTCTCAAGTTTATGCATGAGGTTACAGCTAGAATCCCTTTAGATTTCTCCAATAATTTTGCCAACCATGTCTACATTTGATCCCTGTTTTTTGTAGTTGTTACAGAGAAAACTACAAACATGAAATTTTTGTCCCTTCGGTTTAAAAAGTATCAACGTGCTCGTCTGTTATTGTATTTAAACTAATATTTAGGTTTTTTAAGGCTGGTACTCTGTATCCTTGTCATTAGCTCGACGGCTAGATTTTATCATTTTAGAGCAAAACACGATCTATGTCAGTATTCGGTAGCGGTTTGCTGATTGGAACTGCTCTAGCAGTGATTTTACCGGAAGGTCTGAACATGGTTCAGAACAACCATTCACACCTGGACTGCTTACACATCCCCCATACAGAGTCTAAGGAGTTTCACGATGTCCCCAGGATCCAAGAGGAAGTTCTATCCAGTTCGTTGTGAAGTGTTCATATATATTTTTCGGCAGAAGTATAATTTCGACTATTGTATTTGCATGGCATTGCAACAATTAACTTCAAAGAGTTGACTTGTTTGAATTAGGAAATTGTACTAAAAACTTTTTGAAACATGTTGCAATATTATTACTCTTGCAGAAGCAGGTGCCTTGTAATCAGCAACTAGACTTTTTTCCGTAAAAATGGTTTTTTTACAGGTTTTCAACTTGCTTTTTATTGAATATTATCAACTTTCAGGTTCCTTTGCACTTGGAGTAGAGGTAACGCCGTCGCCTTTGCATCTCAAGGTCAGGGGTTTGAATCCCGACCGGACGTTGTTTTTTTAATATTTATGCAATTGAAAAACTTTTTACGGTAAAAATTGATTTGTTGGCCTTTAGTTTATCTGCTGAAGTTTTGTCGGCTTAGTTGCCACATCACGGATTGTGTTGTAAGCCAATATCATGGTAGTTGCAAGTGTTGTTCCTTGTAGTTTCAGGGGGGCTGGAATCTTTTGAAACATTTATAAAGTTAACTTTTTTTCAACTGGTGCCTACTCGAAAATGGTCGGCTTTGTTTCCGCTTTGTAAGTTTTTTCCGTTGCTAATTTAAAATTCAAATGCCGTGCTTGGCATGTTTGCCTAGAGTTCCTGCTTTATAAAAACAGGTGTTAGGAAAGTATATGGGATCGGTTTTTTAAATATTTATTTATGACGCTTTGAAAAATTGTTTCGCTTCTTGCAAAAGTTTTAGTTGTACTCAAAGTATTCTAGTTTTTCGAGAAAAAAACGGTATCAATTGAAAGACCGCCTACTGTCATGCGTGCCGGCAAACTCACTAGTCTCTTTGCACTTGCGATAAGCAAGGGTATTGCAATCCGGTGCAAAACTTTTTTTTCCCGTAAACAAGTTTTCACAGGATTCATCGACTCCTGTTGGTACCTTGGTTCATAACAAATTCAAATTTTTTACAGTCTCCTGCTCAGTTAGCCTGGAGGTAACGAATATGCTTGGGAAATATACGCTTGGGAATTATACTCAAAACTTGGCCTATTGTTTGTCTGCTTATCTTTAGTCAGCTTAGTTGCCAGCTCTAAGAATCATTTATTTTTGGCGCAAACTTTTTTCACTGTAGTTGTTTCAAGTGTTTCAGTAATTAAAAAGTTCGACCGAATCGAAATTTGCTGTTCATGGGTTGAAATTTCACCAACGCGATTCTTAAAAAAGAAATTTTTGTTCAATTTTTTTCGTCTTCTTTTTTGACCTAATCGGTTTCGGCTTTTTTTAATATCTACTTAGTGGTCCCTTATTGCATCGTTTGATGATCGAAAATTTTTTTTCTTTGCGTGTCTGTTCTTAGGGGAAGGGGGACTTCTGTTCTGAGAGGAAGGGGAACTTTTTTAGCCTTAGGGGCTTGGCTTCTGCTGGGCTTTTTTTTCTGTTTTGTTACCGCTTGGTAAGTTTTTTTCCGATGCTTATTTTGTCCTCTTTTTTCTCAGCCTGTTTTTTTTTTCAAAATTGTCTTCATTGATTTTGATAGAGTTCTTGTATGTATAGTTATAAAACACTGATATTACTTTTTTGTTGATGATTTTTCGTCTTTCGATTCAGCTCTTGGATTAGTTTCCGAATTGTGTATAACCCTTGATTTCAGTACCTATATGCTTTTCGTGTATGCTTTTTAGGCAGTATATGTGTATGTTTCAGGAAGATATCGCCGAACAATTTTGGTTGATTTTCAGCTAATTGGCTGTCGGCTTTAATTCTGTAGGCTTATTTACCTAACATTTTGTTTCATACAAATTTTCGATATGCTTTTTGAGATGGTTAAAATTTTGGCCCTAAATTCAAATTTTGAATGCTCAAATTCAACCCCATTTGGAACTTTTTAATTGTTTTTATAAAAACGTGATAATAAAAAAAATGATTTTCATTTTTGTTTTTGTTTTTTGTACGGTTACAACTAACGAAGTCCTCTTTGTCAGCTTTTGAGTGTCTTGCTGTTTTAGTCCTATGATTGTTGTAGCACAAGTCGTGTGAATCTTAGCTGTACCTCGGTGTTTACTTTACCTCTCTGTCGTTTTAAAATTGGCCACGCCCTATTGTTTTAGTATTAAGTTATGGACTTCAAACTAGTCAAAGCTTTGAAGCTTTGACCGTTTATTGGAAAGCTTTAGTTTTTACTCGAAAACTACCGTGCCAATTCTCAGGCTAAGTATTCAATAGAGAAAACTGGATTCGGGAGTTTTCTCTTCTTCAGCGGATACGACCTGCTTTTTGCAGGAAAAAGTTATTGATTTCGGAAAGTCAAGTTTATGAACTTGAACCATTTTTTAAAAGAAATTTTTGTGTTTAAAAAAATGCCCTATCAAATCTGAGATGAAATATTCATTTGAAAAAGCTGATTGCGAGAATTATTACTGCAGAAGTGGTGACTCTTTAATTTTCTGTACGAGAAAAGTCATTGGAAAAATTTCAGTATCTTCCACTTATTTTAGCAGAAAAACAGCCGAGATTTCGGGTAAAGTCCCATTTTTGAAATAACGCACTTCGTCCCGCATCAGTATAACAAATTCAAAAAATATCAATCATGTACCTCCAGCTTTAGCTGGTTCCCTACTTGTCTTTAATCGAGACATACAAAAGTTTTGACTCACATAGTTTTTTTCAACATTTTTTTCAAGACATTTTTTTTATGTTTGTGATGTATCGCAAGTAGTGCGAAGCTCTGCTTGGCCTCTGTGTTGGAATATGTTGAGCAAGATGGATTTGTTCTACGTTTCAGAAGGAAAGGAAGACGTTCCTGCGTCTCAAAATAACCTATTCATTCAGAGAGAAAACCACGACAAATTGCCAAGTAAAACAGGACCAAAGCTGACTCACGAGGACATGGTTGGACGTCAACATGAAAAAGGCGAAGAACAGGAGGAGGGGGACGAGGAAGCAGCCAATAACAGAGTAATTGGAGTGAGTCTCGTGACAGGATTTGTTTTCATGCTCTTCATCGACCACATATCAGCCGGATCCCACTCACACGGGCCGGCACATTCCACAGGTAGAATTTGAATGCTTTATGCACGTTGCTTGCAAATGAGACATTTGACTTTCACAGCCCAGAAAAATGTCTAAAAAATTCAAGGTCTCTACATTTTGTTTGCTAAATTGGGGGTTACCATGAGTCTACACTAACTGGTGCCTCACCTGTTAACTTAATCATTATGCTGAGACTATTTCTGGTGCTAATATTCTTCAATAAATTAAACTAAAAATCAAGTTGAAATTTAGCAATAAATTAAGTTGAGAAATGCGATACCTCCCGCCTCCAAATCAACATTCCGTGGTCCTAGAGGTCTCAAGTTTTGACATCTAAAAGATGATGGTTTTCTAGGAGTCAGGTTCTTCCTTCCACTCTATCCCTGTTGTGGAAGTGCGGAATTTTTGCCCCGTGGGGTAAAATTTAACGCCTATTGTTCAAAATGTCATTTTTGCGACTGACTGTTTTGTTTTCTGGCTGTGCCACATAGCTTGGTATTTTTAACAGTCGATGAACGTAGTTCAGACTCTTTTATAGGTCTTGATGTTTTTTTTTTCAGGAAAAGTCTTAAGTTTTGTCCAACTCAATTTGATTTTTCGCTGTTTGATTTTTTTTGTCAGTTCATTTTTTTGTTTAAAAGGAAGGCAAACTCCACTATCGAACAGTAAAAGTCCAAAGCCCAGGAAAAACGTCATAGACGATTGATTCTAATTTCGAAAGTGGATTTTAGTTTTTCACATTTCCAGCCGAATAAAAAGTTTACAAAAGCCAATCATAAATTGTTCTTAAAATTCAGAGTTCTATTTTCAAATATTTTTATTTGAACTTTGACAGTTGAAGTTTTTTTTAAATAACAACGTTTTTTTGTTTCCTAGCATTCGTTGACTCTTTTCCAACTGTCTGTTGGTTATGTATAAAATAAAAGAAAATGTCATCAATCGAAAATTCAATTCTTAATTCTCTAAATGTAAACGGTTTTGTTCCCTGGACTTTATGTTTAAATATGGGGGCTTTTGTCTCGGCTGATTTATTCCTAGACCCATTCTTTACAAAGAAAATTACCGATCTTCTGGCGAGGGTTAAATAGCTTGTAATGTGGTAATTTCAAAACGTAAATCTGCTTCAGATCCTGAATTACAGCACAAGGCAGAAACAGGTACAAATGGGCGCTCTAGGGTCAAGCTTACCACAACAATTGGACTGCTAGTGCATGCCGCAGGTAAGCAGTGAACACTGAAATTGAACATTGTGCCCAGGGGCGGATTTAGGGGGGTGAGGGCTAACGCCCCCCTTCTCAGGGATTCAACCCCCTGCCGACCCAAAGGGTCCCTTTTTGTACTATTTTGAAACTACCAATATATACTCATTTTGAGGAGGGGGGTGGTGGTGACGGCGGCTTTGAGCGCGCCGATAAAACCCAATTTTTTGGTCAAAATTTTCCAAAAAGTGCCTAAAAACGCCTTTTGGCTTGTTTTTTCAAAATTTTCGCCGGAGGCGAAGAAAATTTTGCCAAAACAGGGTCTTTTATGCTTTGGGAGAGCTCGGAAAATCAATTTGGTCGAACTAACTAAAAAAACCCTAGATCCCCTCCGGAAAATCGTAGATCCGCTTCTGATTGTGCCCCTGAATCTGGCGAAAAATTAATGTACATCAGCAAAAAAAATTTGACTCAAAACTTTTGAGTCAAATTTTTTTTGCTGATGTACATTAATTTTTCGCCAGATTCAGGGGCACAATCAGAAGCGGATCTACGATTTTCCGGAGGGGATCTAGGGTTTTTTTTGGGCACTTTTTGGGCACTTTTTGAAAAATTTTGCGTTTTTTTCGCGTTTTTTTGGCGCGCGCACCCCCTCAAAGTTAGTATATATTGGCGCCGTAGGCGCCCTTAGAAAAATTTTAGGGTCGGTCGGCCAAAAACGGATTTCTGAAAAAGTATCAAAGGGGGGACCCTTTGGGTCGGCAGGGGGTCGAATCCCTGAGGGGGGGGCGTCCGCCCCCCCCCCCCCGCCCCCCCCCCTAAATCCGCCCCTGCTCAAAAGGAACTATGGGACCCTATGAGTTACTTAAATTGTTTGAGCTAAAATGGTTCAATTTATTTAATTATGTAAAAAATTTTCAGGTCTTTTTTAAATAAATTAAGTCGGATTGATTGAGGGCGTCTCTTATTTGCGAAAAAGCATAACTTTTTCAAGTGCGTCAATCATGGGGAGGGTGGCTCTTTCGAGAAAATACTGTATAAATGGTGTAGTTAATTTATTCAGATCTTTAGGCTCTTATTTCAGCTGACGGAATTGCAATGGCAGCAGTGAGTGCCTCGAAGAAGCCAGACTTGCAACTGCTAGTGTTTGTGGCCATCATGCTCCACAAGTTCCCAGCCAGCTTCGGACTAGTGTCCTTTCTGCTAAATGAGAAGACGGAGCGACAACGCATACGCAAACACCTCATGGCCTTCAGCTTAGCTGCTCCCATCGGTGCTCTGCTCACATATATGTTCATGGCAATCGTCACTGTGGTGAGTGAAGGAGTTTCGGCTCTTTTTCATTATAGCCCCCGCGCCCTAATTTACGAGCAAAAATACAGCCCTGTCACAGTAGTATTTATCAGGCTTGGATCTAGGAGTTTCTCGAGGGGGGGGGGGGGGGGGTCGGATTTTCAAAAAAATGTTGAAAATTTTGTCTACTTTTTTTAGGTCGGCCAAATTGGTTTTCTGAGCTCTCCCAAACCACTATAAAGACCCTAATTTGACCAAATTTTCAGCGCTGCAGGCAAATTTTTGAAAAAAAAAACAGGCCAAAAGAGGCTTTTATGGCTCCCCCCTCAAAATTAGTATAGATGGGCGCCAAAGGCGCCTTAAGAAAAATTTTAAGGTCAGTCAGCCAAAAGTGGATATCTCAAAATAGTACAAAGGGGGGACTCTTTGGGTCGGCAGGGGGTCAAATACCTGAGGAAGGGCATCCGCCCCCCCTCCCCCCTAAATCCGCTACTGGTATTTATACTATAGGGGGCTATATTGGGGAATGTTTCTGTTTCCATAAGTGCGTTATTATGAAATGAACAATTGCACGTGCGGATCTGGGTTTCTCGAAGGAGGGAAAGGGGGCTCCGAGCTCTCCCGAAACACTATAAAGATAGTATTTTGCCGGAATTCTTGCGTTTTTTTTTTGATGGGAGCTTCAAAACTAGTGTACGCTAGCGCTTTGAAAAATTCAGGTCCGTAGTTGGTGTAATAAAATAGATCTGATTTCGGGAACACTTCGGTTAGCGAGGGGATCGAAAGCCTGAGCGATAACGCCTTCGTCATCCGCTCCTGAACATTTGAGAACGATCAGACTCTGTTTTATGAATCTGATTTATGAAGTAATTATTGTTAGCGACAAATGACCTCTGTTCTTTTTTGCAAAGCCATACAAATTTTGTTTGTTTTGCAGCTTTTGGTAAGTTAAACAGAACGCCACAGTAAATGAAGGTTACAGTTGTTAAGAGTCGATGAACGGAGTTCAGACTCTTGTAATCGCGAACTAGACTTTTTTCTCGTATACAACTTTTCTTACATCCGAAGTTGAAATTTAATTTTTTAGTGAATCTTAGCAACATCGAGGCTGCATCCCACTTGGCCTAGAGGCTGCGCGGTTGTGTCTGTACCCTGTACCCTAAGGTCTTGGGGTTTGAGTCACGGCCGGACCTTGTTTCTTTTTCAGAATGCATGACAAATTCCGGCAAAAATTGAATTGCCGTACTTCTGTTTGTCTGATTATGTTTTGTCGGCTTAGTTGCCTCATTGTAGAGTTTTTTGTGTGGTCAGCAATTTTAGTCCTAGATGGAAGTGTTTTTGATGTGTTCCTGAAATTAAAAACTACGCTTAAAAGGTTTTTGTTACGCTTAAAAGGTTCATTCAGCTTAAATGTTTTCCGCTTATGTTTTTGTTTTATCGGCTTAGTTACCTTGATGTTACCTTAATTTGTGTCGCTTCAAAGTAAAAAAAATTGATTAAAAAAACAGGTAGTTTGTCTTACAAAAGTTCAAAATTTTTTATGGTGTTTTTTTTCGATCGCGATGATATTTTTTTTTCGTTTTTTTTCAGGAAAAGTTTTAATGGAAAAGTTTGTTGAGGCTCAAATTTATTTTTATCGCGGTTGGACGTTTGATTTCTTAAAGCTCAGATCATTTCCTTTGATAAAAGGAAGGCAAACTTTACTATCGAACAGCAATTGCGTAAAAGGTCACAAAAAAAGGTAATCGACTTCTAGTTTCGAGGGTGGACTTTAATTTTAAGATGTCTATATACGTGGTGTATTGGCACATCTGGTTAGTGCGCTAGTCTCATAAGTGATGGACCTGAGGTTCGAGCCCCGTAGTAAGCCGAAAAGTCTCAGAAGTTTTCAGTCCTTCTTTTTGAGCACATGCAAGAACGAGGTATAGCAAAACGTGCAAATAGCCAAGCGTCCAAGTCCATCATGTCGATCCAGTTTCTCAAATTGGGTCAATTTTATCAAAAAAGTACCAATCATAATTTTTTCTAGAAATTCAAAGAGCTTTAATGACATCTATTTTTTCTTTCAAGATCATTGGTCCAAATATGTTTGACATGGCTTAATTAGTCCGCATGTCAATTTTCATAATTATCGGATAACGCGAACAACAATTTTACGTGTAAAAGTTTACAGGTGGGGGCGGAAAAGAAAAAAGAGCCGAGATTTTTCAAAAAAGAGGCAGTATTTTTTTGTTTACTTGCGTTCATTGACTCTTTTCCATCTGTCTGTTTGGTATGTTTATTTGCGTTCATTGATTCTTTTCCAATTGTCTGTTGGCTATATTTCAAATCCGAAAGACTTCTTATAATTCAAATCTTTTATTGGTGAAAGCAAAATGTTAATTGCTCTGGAGAGCACGGTATCTGTTTTCTTTAAAAAAGTAGAAGAAAAGAATTATAGCAACCTGTTATATTTCCCAGAAATGTTTTGTTCATTATTGGGCTATTTGCCTTCTGAATTGTGAAAACCAATTCCAGGCGAATCTCGTTTGAGTTCAAAATGTTATACGCTGAGGTTTTCCTTAAAATGGAAAGTGCTGTAAGATTTCTATGAAATTCGGGAACTAAAAAGTATGAAAATCCGTGAGTGTGCCATGTGTTGTCACCAATAGTGTTTGTTTGGTGTTTCAGCCAAATCAGTCCAATGGCAACTCTGCAATATTCTCCAACTTCTCAGGTAAGGCTATGCTCTTCTCAGCCGGCACCTTCCTATATGTGGCCACCATCCACATCCTCCCTAACATCCAGCACTCCAGTCCAGGGGGGCACCTGTCTACTGCCCATGTGCTCCTTCTTCTTCTTGGCTCATTCTGTCCTTCTCTGCTCAACATGTTCCACCATCATGACCACGGCCATGACCACACAACCTGATATAAACTGCAGTCGGGAAGATTTCTAGATTCAAAATAGAACTCAAATACAAAGAAAGTTGCAAATATGTCCCTTTTTTACAGCTCGTTTAACCAACACTTAGAGTAGGTAAAATTGAATTGTCTATAAGAGATGTTGAAGTTTATTGAAAATTCAGAATAAAAACCACGTGGAGATTAGAACTCTGAATGAGATATTCAAAATTTTTAATCGGATTCTCAAAATATTTGCTACTTTTTTGAAATTTGAACTTTCTCTACCACTGCTTTAATTTACTGTAAGGTATTTTATATTATCTATTAATTATAATGTACAGAGATGAGTAGTAATTTGTACCAAAATGTGAACAATTTCTTTATTATTACAGAATTATTGGGAATTGCGTTTTACACTTGCGAAGATTTTTTTCCAACCTAGGTCGCAAATTTTGGCGCCATTTTTGGGTCACCTTTACCGCTTTTTCATAGCATAGGCTTTGGCATTCGAATAGTAATAAGTTAACACAGTTGACGCATTTTTGATTAGGAGTAATGAACGTAGTGAGGACTCTTATATAGGTCTTGCTGATTTTTTTTTTCAGGAGAAAGTCTTAGTTTGTTCGCGCTCATTTGATTTTTCACAGTTTGACTTGTGATTTCTTTTTAAGTTCAGTGCATTTTCATTATTAAAAGGAAGGCAAACTCCACTATCGAACAGCAAAAATGTAAAGGTCGCGAAAAATGTGATGGAAAATGGAAATTAATTATCAAATATCCCAGTGAAATGAAAGTTTTGCTCTTGATCCAGTTTTCTCAAATTGGGTTATCTTCAACGTAAAGTGTTCAGCATATGTTTTTCTACAAATTCAAATAGCTTTAAGGCCATCTATTTTTTTCTTTGAAATTCAAAGTCAGTTTTTGTTTCAGTTTCATTGCGCTCATTACTCTTTTCCAACTGTCAGTTGGCTATGTTTCATGAAATGAACCGAAAGAATTGATTGGTTTCAAACAACGTGATAATACTGAAAACTAGATTCAGAAATTTTTTTAATACAATATATCTCGCAATTTGAAATGCATGATTTCATAATGTAGCTTTATGCTTTGCTATTTGTTACATGCAAAGTTAGTGTGGATGCCTTCAGTTTGTTATTACACAAGCATAGTTTGTGTTATAGTATGAACTATCTTTTTTCCAACCTAAGTCGCAAATATTGTTGCAATGAAATGTGTTCATTTTGAAAGTTTTCATTTTGATCAATACCAGCTATTAAGTACAGCCAATGCTATGGTTATTAACACCGACTTTTTTGTTCCGACTTTTGTAACAAAAATAACGGAATATCTGTGCTCTGGTGGGTTTTTTCGACTTTTTAACGAGCTATTTTTGGCGTAATTTTTTATATCTTTTAAAAGGTATTGTTTTCATGAGCTTGAATTTGAGAAAAATATTTCACCCCTGTGATCAATCCGTCTTAGAAATCGTTTCAAATTGGATGAAGGAAGCTTATTTGACGCAATTAATTCGTTTCTAGAAGCAAAATCTATCACTTACTACTTTAAATCGCGTGTGGGGGATGATTTTTACAAAAAAATCTCAAAATTTCAAAAAAAAAAATTATTTTCTTACATTTAATTTTTCATGTTAAGCTGCTCCATAGACCTTAAAAGGCAGTCAAAATTTTCAGGGCTTCGTGCTGATACGAGCAGTTTTGTATTACAAATAGCAATTTAGCTTCAAAGTGTCATGGATCTGTAGGATAGAGATAGGGAGGAGACCCGCAACAAAATAAGAGACCCGCAACTGGGCAGGGTCGGATGTTTTTATTTAAATTCTTCGTGTATTAGCTAAAATGTCGGTCCGCTCTATAAATTGAGTTATGTGCAATTGATAAATTTCTTTCTTTTTCAAATTGACTGGTACTGCTAATTGGCTTGCGTCACTTAAGGAATTTTATAGACTCAAAGTTTTACTCATTCAGTTTTTCCCAGTAGCTTTATCGGTCTTTTTTTGCTTGTGTATGCGAAGTGCAATTTCGCCTCTGTGTAATCCACTTACCAAATTGATTCTATTTGTATTTGGTGCCACTATTGCTGAATTGCTTTGGCAATTTATTTGAATATGTAGCTGCTTTATTCTTGACTAGTGTTTGTCGGTTGGTAAGCTTGCTAGGGTGAGTGGATAGTGCGTGAGACTCATTATCTCTTGATGCAGTTGGTCGCAGATCGCATCTTAGACCTAGCCGAGTCTTTGCTAGTTCGAGGCTTATTTCTCTTTTTTCTTATTGAATTTTCTAGAGCTGCTTTTTGATCATGTTCTCGCAAGTGTTTGCGAAGCGCAGCTTCGCCTCTGTGATGATTACTGGGAGCTTAATTGACTACAGAGGGTGTAAATTACGATATGTATTTATATTTTAAAGAAATGTTTTATAGGTTATAGAAGATAATTTACAAAAAAAGTGAGCCATCTTGAACAGAGAATAATACCCACAATAATTTGAAAACAAGCTATTATTAAGAGTCGATGGACGCGTTTGGCCGTTTTTAGCAGACTGAGTGAAAATATTTCCCATTTATTCCTGTAATTATGCATGTATTCAATTTTGAGGTTTTATTTTTTGAAATATATTTTTGAGCCGATTTTTTTTATGGTAATTGTTCTTTTCCTTTTTACGTTACTCACAAAAAAGCAAGGAATGGATGGAGACCAGTCCCAAATTTCTACTCATTTTGCGCCAACAGCTATTTTTTTCTGTTTGTATGCGTTTTTTGAGTTATGCGTTTGTTTTCGTAGTTTTTACAAAGTTCGGTTGTAAACCAAATCCGACTTTAAATGATTTTCATTTCATTTTTTTCCCTCAAACCTTTTCATTTCATTTTTTTCTCTCGATACTTTCACTAACTTTGTTTCGGCCTATTCGTGTTTCATTGCGTTGTATGTAAAATGATGATAATTTTTCATCCATGTGTGTGCTGCAGATTTGGAATGGAGGTATTCGAGATAAAAGTTATAGTTTCCCAGGTATCAATATTTGACTATTTAATTTTAGCAAAGCGTCGAGAAAAAGATATCGTTGCTACCAATGATCAAAGTGTGTCTTAGTCGTTAAAATGTTACTAATAATTAATTTTGTTGTTGAAAAGATTGGGTCATACGACCCCTGTAGTACACAAGAATTTTTTTTCCAGATTTTGTTGTAAGGTTTCGATGAGTGGCTGAACAAGATTTTTTCTAAGTTTATCAGGTTATTGTAGCTCAGAAGGTTCTGATAAAGAGTTTTGAGGAGGCTCAACGTGCGTCTTCCCAAACTTTGTCAACGCAGTTACCAATACATTAATTTTGTCTCAACCGTTAATTGCTACTGCCACTTTTTGTCTAGTTATTCCGCAAATGAACTTAATTCGAGACGAGCATATGAGAAAGCTACTCGACTTCGGCAAAAATTTTCCAATCAAATTATTCAATGGGTTTGCTTTTGTTTGATTTAACTGACGGCTCATATGCCATGCAATACTTATGATTTATCGCAATTGTTGCATTGTTAACCGGTTTGAAGTTATCTGGCTAATTTCAATAGTATATGCTCTTACAATTTGTAGGTATAGAGTGGATTTAGGGGGGGGGGGGATAAGGGTAGGAAGGTGGTTAGATGCCCCTTTTCTTAGGGATTCGAACCCCTCCAGACTCAAAGTGTCCACCTTTGTCGTATTTTGATGTTTTACAAAATAATTGAGACCACTATTTGAGTCCTATTTTGAGACTTTAAAAAGATTTTTAAGATCAGGTATCTAGCTGAAATTTTGGTTTCCCAAAAAAAATATCATATCAAAAAGAACTCCCAAATTGTTGCTCAACAATTTAGTATACAGCTGAAAACATGTTGGTCGGTTTAAACAGCCGTTATGCTAAATGGTTTTCACAAAAAAAGAATTTGTGAAATTTTTCTAGGGTCCATAAATCGACTCCACCTGTAGAATTGAAATCTACTGATGTTATAAAGTTTTCTTTGCTTGCGAAGCCCGTTTAACATACTGGGTGTCTGTAACGACTAATAAATCCAAATTGTTTTACTCGAGATAATTGGCTGGGTTCTAATTAAATTATAATGTCTAAAAAGGCGACGTCTCCTTACAATTCGAATATTTAGTCACTATTTCACATTTTTGCTCTTGAAAATGACAAAAACAATACGCGTATCTTCAAAACCTCTTCGTATAACTGCTCTGTTTAAGTTTCCTTGTTCAAGGGATTTCTCGATCAATGCCACCGAGCTTGAAAAGAAACATCCGTCGACTTTCTACATAAAATCAGGTAGAAACAAAAAAAGTGTATTAAGTTTTACCTTTATCAATTTCCTAATCTTCTGTTTTTATTAGTTCGTTATTTAAACTTCGAAATTTGGTTTTCAACAAGAAATCATAATAAACAAACATGGATGTCACAGATGTTTCATCGATGTCACATCAATGTATCTAAACGTAAACAAAAAATTAGTTGCATCGATGTTTCATCGATGTCACATCAATGTTTTTTTTTAATATTTAAGGGTAGAAGAATGAACATAGTTCGAACAAAGTAAATCTATGTATTTGTGCTGGTGCATCCCTGAAACATTGTCAAAGCAATGCAATAACATTAATACTTTTCTGAATTGCAATGCAACTTCAACCCCCGGGACGTTCCAATTCCTTGCGAAAAAATTGAAATGAATTAACATCTGAATACTGGTGTATCTTTTTGTTTTCCAAATCGGGTTGACCAAAATTTGCTTAACGACTCGTTTTGCTTAAAGGCTAAATGACTCGTTTCGCTACCTTTTAGAATTAGTTTCCAGCTGGTAATTAGAAACTTTATCGGTATGATATATACCTGAGCCCTCTACCGAAAACACTTCCGCCGCTATATGACAAGATTCGTCAAAATGGTTTTTGGTGTCTCCAAATCAATTTTGAACCAATAGTTACGTTTAACCAAGAGATTGTTTTCGAAATTTTGGGCAATGCAAAAGAATTGAAGGCATGTAAGAATTTTCAAGCTTTCCATTGCTGAATTTTTTTGTTTAATTGCAAATTTTTTAACCATCATCTTAAAATTTTTAAATGCTTTAATTTGAACAAAAAACGCAAAACTTTTCCAAAATGGATTTTTATGTGTTAATACGATATAGTAACAACCCATC